TAAGGAATTGCGCCCAGTAAATCCTCCCCGGCCAGGATACGAACCCATGACATAGCGCTCGCGGAACGCCAGGCGGGTGTCTTACCACTACACCAAGGAGACTACGTAAAGAAGAAAGTGTTATTAGAAAGTGTTATTCTCTGCGTATTAGAAGAAAGTATTAGAGGGCTTGGGACTGTGGCAATCCTTAGACTGTGGCAGTGTGAGGGGGAAGGTTGATGTGTGTGTTGGGGGTGGGAGGAGATAGGGGAGGGGAGTCGGTGGAGGTTGTGGCGGCATTTCCTGACCTTCCATGATAGCTGCCAGCTTGTCCCTCTGACCTTAGCTACCCTTCTTTATCTGTCTCGTGTGGGCCTTGTCCAGCCAGTACTCACCTAGTTGTGCTTGCGGGGGTTGAGCTCTGGCTCTGGTCCCGCCTCTCAACTGCTGTACAGGTTCCTGAGCCTATGACCTGAGTATAGTAGGTACTCTGAGAGAGAACTCTATCAACATCAGAGGCCCGAGACTGTTCAACACGCTTCCACTACACATAAGGGGCATAACTGGCAAACCCCTCACAGTGTTCAAGAGAGAACTGGATAAGCACCTCCAAAGGATACCTGATCAACCAGGCTGTGACTCATACGTCAGGCTGCGAGCAGCCGCGTCTAACAGCCTGGTTGATCAGTCCAGCAACCAGGAGGCCTGGTCGACGACCGGGCCGCGGGGACACTAAGCCCCGGAAGCACCTCAAGGTAGCCTCAAGGTAGGTCAAGGTAGCCTATTGGGCTCTATCATATCTACACTTGAAACTGTGTATGGAGTCAGCCTCCACCACATCACTTGCTAATGCATTCCATTTGTCAACCACTCTGACACTAAAAAAGTTCTTTCTAATGTCTCTGTGGCTCATTTGGGTACTAAGTTTCCACCTGTGTCCCCTAGTTCGTGTTCCACCCGTGCGAAATAGTTTGTCTTTGTCCACCCTGATAATTTTTTAGGTGGTTGTCATGTCTTCCCTTACTCCTCTGTCATCCAGGGACGTGAGGTTTAGCTCCAGTAGCCTTTCCTCGTAGCTGTGTGTGTGTGTGTGTATACGTGTGTGCGTGTGTGCCTGTGTGTGTGTACTCACCTAGTTGTGTTTGCGGGGGTTGAGCTCTGGCTCTTTGGTCCCGCCTCTCAACCGTCAAATCAACTGGTGTACAGGTTCCTGAGCCTATTGGGCTCTATCATATCTACACTTGAAACTGTGTATGGAGTCAGCCTCCACCACATCACTGCCTAATGCATTCCTAATGTGTGTGTGCGCGCGCGCGGCGTGTGGTGGGGGGTCGGAGGTCTTTCGAGTATTAGAAAGTAGGGCGGCGAGTCCAAAAAAGGTTGAGAAGCACTTCCCTACAGGGAACCTTGAACCAAGTTTATAATAAAATATAATTATTTCTATTATTATTTATTATAATTCATTGCGTTGAGGGACAGGCAGCCAGTGTATATATACATGTTAGACTTATATCGAGTTCCGTCCCCCCTATGGACGAACAACTGACCCGCCCCAGGATACCCCACACTGGGGCAGCTATTGACTGCTAGGTGAACAGATCCATAAGGTGATAGGAAACACGCCCAATCATTTCTGTCTCGCCCGAGACTCGAACACGCAGCTACCGATTGTATGTCAAGAACAACCCCGACTGTACTACAAGGATCCCCTATGAATATTATATGGAAGAAGCTGGGAACAAATGCAAGCAAAAGCAAGACTTCATTTGAATTATAAATTAGTCAAAGTTAATGCAGGCTGCAGGAAGAGCCACTAGCAGTCCTGTCCTGCGGCAGACCTGCAGGAAGAGCCACTAGCAGTCCTGTCCTGCGGCAGACCTGCAGGACGAGGACGGAGGAACAGAAGAGGGTGGGGGAGAGAGGGGGACGGAATGAGTGACGGGTGTAGAGAGGAGGCGCGACATGATAACGTAGGAATTACGGCCACCGCACCAAGCCTGGTATCTTAGGCTTGGCGGCTACTGTTACCATACTCGCCCAGTCTCCTCCTTTCCCTCAACCTTATACCTATTGGCTGACAACCGCCATGCGCCCCACACCCCTGTTCCTGGTCGCTCTCCACCCCAGCCTGGGGGATGAATGCCCCCCAGCTAGGGGGGGTGGCTACCCCCACCACCAACCCCAGCTGGGGGGGGGGGCTGGCCTCACACCCACCCTAGCTGGGGGTGGCTGCCCCCCTCCACCCACCCCAGCTGGGGGGTGACTGCCCTCCACCCCAGCTGGGGGGTGACTGCCCTCCACCCCAGCTGGGGGGGGGGGACTGCCCCCCACCACCACCAACCCTAGCTGGGGGGAGGGTGGCTGCACCCCCACCACCAACCCCAGTTGGGAGGTGGCTGGCCCCCCACCAACCCCAGCTGGTGGCGGCCGCTCCTCAATTACCAAACCTGTTCCTTCCCGCCTCATACTGTTAACCCTAGCCTGCCGCCCTCCCTCACACTCCTGCTGCTGTTCTCATATTATATATATTATATATATATATATTATATGTATATTATATATATATATTATATATATATAATATATTATATATATATATATATATATTTATATTACATAAATAGTGTGCGTGCGCGCGCATAATAACCACATGTTTTTGTCGACTCCCTTAATTCCACTACGTGAGAAAGGAATATTTGTGTTAACTTTATCCATATTTCAATCTTCCCTACTCCTCTGTCGTCCCCATTTTCCCCATATTTCATCCCCAATTCTTGGTGGTCAGGTGACCTGCCCCTTCCCTGAATTCAGCATCCCTGGAGGATAGTTATTAGGTCTGGCCACCAGGCTTCCCTCTCTCAAGTTACAGCACCGCTCCTGTGCCAGGTAAGTACACTACAGGCTCACCATAGCCCGTGCTACTTGCCCCGCTCCTGTGCCAGGTAAGTACACTACAGGCTCACCATAGCCCGTGCTACTTGCCCCGCTCCTGTGCCAGGTAAGTACACTACAGGCTCACCATAGCCGTGCTACTTGCCCCGCTCCTGTGCCAGGTAAGTACACTACCAGGCTCACCATAGCCCGTGTTACTTGCCCCGCTCCTGTGCCAGGTAAGTACACTACGGGCTCACCATAGCCCGTGCTACTTGCCCCGCTCCTGTGCCAGGTAAGTACACTACAGGCTCACCATAGCCCGTGCTACTTGCCCCGCTCCTGTGCCAGGTAAGTACACTACAGGCTCACCATAGCCCGTGCTACTTGCCCCGCTCCTGTGCCAGGTAAGTACACTACGGGCTCACCATAGCCCGTGCTACTTGCCCCGCTCCTGTGCCAGGTAAGTACACTACGGGCTCACCATAGCCCGTGCTACTTGCCCCGCTCCTGTGCCAGGTAAGTACACTACAGGCTCACCATAGCCCGTGCTACTTGCCCCGCTCCTGTGCCAGGTAAGTACACTACAGGCTCACCATAGCCGGTGCTACTTGGAACTTTTTATTCCCAGTAGCTGAATCTACTCTTATCTTGCTCTGATGAAGGCGAATTAAGCAGAAAAACGCGTTTATATAATATAATATATATATATATATATATATATATATATATATATATATATATATATATATATATATATATATATATATATATATATATATATATATAATGTGTGTGTGTGAGAAAGCTGCAGGAACACGCAAGCCGTAGATCACTAAGAACTCTTAATTGACCCGGCCAGGATTCGAACCCATGCCATCCAGGATCACCCATAAACGTACACAGTACCGTGACCACCGCGCCAATGATCGTCTAGTGTACGTTTAGGGGGTGATCCTGGACGGCATGGGTTCGAATCCTGGCCGGGTTAATTAAGAGTTCTTAGTGATCTATGGCTTGCGTGTTCCTGCAGCTTTCTCATATATAGATTCTTCACACCGACAGTGAAGAAAAGCAAGAAATAATAAAAAAAAAATTCGTGTTAGAATTATTGATATTACTTTTTCGGTCATATTCACCATACACACACATATATATATATATATATATATATATATATATATATATATATATATATATATATAATATATATATATATATATATATATATATATGTGGTTTATATTAAAATATATAAACTATGGTTTATATATATAAACCACAGGGTTTATATATTATATATATAAACCCTGTGGTTGACGTGGTTTTATATATATTATATATAACACCATTACCTCGTCAACCACAGGGTTAAGGCGGCCACCACCACGTCAACCACAGTGTTGAGTCACCCGCCACCACGTCAACCACAGGGTTGAGTCACCCGCCACCACGTCAACCACAGGGTTGAGTCACCCACCACCACGTCAACCACAGGGTTGAGTCACCCACCACCACGTCAACCACAGGGTTGAGTCACCCACCACCACGTCAACCACAGGGTTGAGTCACCCACCACCACGTCAACCACAGTGTTGAGTCACCCACCACCACGTCAACCACAAGGTTGAGTCACCCACCACCACGTCAACCACAAGGTTGAGTCACCCACCACCACGTCAACCACAAGGTTGAGTCACCCACCACCACGTCAACCACAAGGTTGAGTCACCCACCACCACGTCAACCACAAGGTTGAGTCACCCACCACCACGTCAACCACAGGGTTGTCACCCACCACCACGTCAACCACAAGGTTGAGTCACCCACCACCACGTCAACCACAGGGTTGAGTCACCCACCACCACGTCAACCACAGTGTTGAGTCACCGACCACCACGTCAACCACAAGGTTGAGTCACCGACCACCACGTCAACCACAAGGTTGAGTCACCGACCACCACGTCAACCACAAGGTTGAGTCACCGACCACCACGTCAACCACAGTGTTGAGCCACCGACCACCACGTCAACCACAGTGTTGAGTCACCCACCACCACGTCAACCACAGTGTTGACACAACACCGTCCACAGAGAACACAAGCAAGTCTTGTGTTGCCTGGTAAACATTAACATTGTTTTACACTTACCTTCTTGAGCGTAAAGTTGTATGAGGGATGTATGAGGTGGGTGAGGAGGTCGGGGGAGCCGAGGATGAGGCGAGGCCCCTCACTGGCGAGGCAGAATGAGGCAGGAGTTAGGAGCAGGCCTCACTGGCGTCATGCAGCACCACGCTACACCTCCGTCCTCCACCACAGTCACAACACTACTGAGGCGACGCCTGGCTGGGTGGTGGCTGGTGGCACCTCCTCGCCCCTCGTGCTACAGGCCGGGGTGGCACCACTCTTGCTACAGGCCGGGGTGGCACCACTCCTGCTACAGGCCGGGGTGGCACCTCCTCGCCCCTCGTGCTACAGGCCGGGGTGGCACCACTCTTGCTACAGGCTCTTGCTACAGGCTGGGGTGGCACCACTCCTGCTACAGACCGGGGTGGCACCACTCCCGCTACAGGCCGGGGTGGCACCACTCCCGCTACAGGCTGGGGTGGCACCACTCTTGCTACAGGCCGGGGTGGCACCACTCTTGCTACAGGCCGGGGTGGCACCACTCCTGCTACAGGCCGGGGTGGCACCACTCTTGCTACAGCCGGGGTGGCACCACTCCCGCTACAGGCCGGGGTGGCACCACTCCCGCTACAGGCCGGTGTGGCACCACTCCCGCTACAGGCCGGGGTGGCACCACTCCCGCTACAGGCCGGGGTGGCACCACTCCCGCTACAGGCCGGGGTGGCACCACTCTTGCTACAGGCCGGGGTGGCACCACTCTTGCTACAGGCCGGGGTGGCACCACTCCCGCTACAGGCCGGGGTGGCACCACTCTTGCTACAGGCCGGGGTGGCACCACTCTTGCTACAGGCCGGGGTGGCACCACTCCCGCTACAGGCCGGGGTGGCACCACTCCCGCTACAGGCCGGGGTGGCACCACTCCTGCTACAGGCCGGGGTGGCACCACTCCCGCTACAGGCCGGGGTGGCACCACTCCCGCTACAGGCCGGGGTGCACCACTCTTGCTACAGGCCGGGGTGGCACCACTCATGCTACAGGCCGGGGGGGCACCACTCTTGCTACAGGCCGGGGTGGCACCACTCCTGCTACAGGCCGGGGTGGCACCACTCCTGCTACAGGCCGGGGTGGCACCACTCCCGCTACAGGCCGGGGTGGCACCACTCCCGCTACAGGCTGGGGTGGCACCACTCCTGCTACAGGCCGGGGTGGCACCACTCCCGCTACAGGCCGGGGTGGCACCACTCCCGCTACAGGCCGGGGTGGCACCACTCCTGCTACAGGCCGGGGTGGCACCACTCTTGCTACAGGCCGGGGTGGCACCTCCTCGCCCCTCGTGCTACAGGCCGGGGTGGCACCACTCCCGCTACAGGCCGGGTGTGGCACCACTCCTGCTACAGGCCGGGGTGGCACCACTCCCGCTACAGGCCGGGTTGGCACCACTCCTGCTACAGGCCGGGGTGGCACCACTCCCGCTACAGCCGGGTGTGGCACCACTCCTGCTACAGCCGAGGTGGCACCACTTGCTACAGGCCGGGGTGGCACCTCCTCGCCCCTCGTGCTACAGGCCGGGGTGGCACCACTCTTGCTACAGGCCGGGGTGGCACCACTCCCGCTACAGGCCGGGGTGGCACCACTCCCGCTACAGGCCGGGGTGGCACCACTCCCGCTACAGGCCGGGGTGGCACCACTCCCGCTACAGGCCGGGGTGGCACCACTCCCGCTACAGGCCGGGGTGGCACCACTCCCGCTACAGGCCGGGGTGGCACCACTCTTGCTACAGGCCGGGGTGGCACCACTCTTGCTACAGGCCGGGGTGGCACCACTCTTGCTACAGGCCGGGGTGGCACCACTCTTGCTTCAGGCCGGGGTGGCACCACTCCCGCTACAGGCCGGGGTGGCACCACTCCCGCTACAGGCCGGGGTGGCACCACTCTCGCTACAGGCTGGGGTGGCACCACTCCTGCTACAGGCCGGGGTGGCACCACTCCTGCTACAGGCCGGGGTGGCACCACTCCCGCTACAGGCCGGGGTGGCACCACTCCCGCTACAGGCCGGGGTGGCACCACTCTTGCTACAGGCCGGGGTGGCACCTCCTCGCCCCTCGTGCTACAGGCCGGGTGGCACCACTCTTGCTACAGGCCAGGGTGGCACCACTCCCGCTACAGGCCGGGTGGCACCACTCCCGCTACAGGCCGGGGTGGCACCACTCCTGCTACAGGCCGGGGTGGCACCACTCCCGCTACAGGCCGGGGTGGCACCACTCCTGCTACAGGCCGAGGTGGCACCACTTGCTACAGCCGGGGTGGCACCTCCTCGCCCCTCGTGCTACAGGCCGGGGTGGCACCACTCTTGCTACAGGCCGGGGTGGCACCACTCCCGCTACAGGCCGGGGTGGCACCACTCTTGCTACAGGCCGGGGTGGCACCACTCCCGCTACAGGCCGGGGTGGCACCACTCCCCTACAGGCTGGGGTGGCACCACTCCTGCTACAGGCCGGGGTGGCACCACTCTTGCTACAGGCCGGGGTGGCACCACTCCCGCTACAGGCTGGGGTGGCACCACTTGCTACAGGCTGGGGTGGCACCACTCCTGCTACAGGCCGGGGTGGCACCACTCCCGCTACAGGCCGGGTGGCACCACTCCGCTACGGCCCGGGTGGCAACACACTCCCGCTACAGGCCGGGGTGGCACCACTCCCACTACAGGCCGGGGTGGCACAGGCCGGGGTGGCACCACTCCCGCTACTACAGGCCGGGTGGCACCACTCCCGCTACAGGCTGGGGTGGCACCACTTGGGGTGGCACCACTCCAGCTACAGGCTACCACTCTTGCTACAGGCCGGGGTGGCACCACTCCCGCTACAGGCCCTGGTGGCACCACTCTTGCTACAGGCCGGGGTGGCACCACTCCCGGGCTGGGGTGGCACACTTGCTACAGGCTGGGGTGGCACCACTCCTGCTACAGCTACAGGCCGGGGTGGCACCACTCCCGCTACAGGCCGGGGTGGCACCACTTGCTGCAGGCCGGGGTGGCACCACTCCCGCTACAGGCCGGGGTGGCACCACTCTTGCTACAGGCCGGGGGCACACTCCCGGCACCACTCCCGCTACAGGCCGGGGTGGCACCACTCCTGCTACAGGCCGGGTCTGAGGGTGACGCTCCATACACTACACGGGGCATAACTAAGTACAGTACTCTGTATTCGCTGACATGAAAGGAGCCGTCGATAAAGCACCAGGAATTGCGATCCTAGATGAGTTTGCATACATGAGAGACTCATGAAATGGATTAAAGATCACCTCACAGGAAGGAAAGCCATTATGTTGACCAGACCACACACTAGAAATTGAAGGGACGACGACGTTTCGGTCCGTCCTGGACCATTCTCAAGTCGATTGTCTTGAGAATGAGTCACAATCGACTTGAGAATGGTCCAGGACGGACCGAAACGTCGTCGTCCCTTCAATTTCTAGTGTGTGGTCTGGTCAACATACTTCAGCCACGTTATTGTGACTCATCGCCTGCATAAAGCCATTATGCTTCAACGGAGCAGTCTCGAGGACAAGTGATTTAGAACTCGATACCACCTGAGGAGGAGTGTTAAGCCCACACTATTCTACAGAGTTATGAACGCAATTTCAATTATCGTATTTGCGGAAGGGGGACAGCATGTGCAGATGATGTCCGAACACAAGCTTCAACCTTGGGAAAAAAATTGGACAGTCCATGAACTCATGGAAGTGTGTTGAGCTCCGTTTCATTCTCACCACAAACAAGACAAAGGCATACTCTCGTCATAAGGGAGGAGAAAATGAAGAATTACAAATTAATGGTGTAACACTTGAATGGGTTGACCACTATCGGTACCTTGGCGTCACTGTCGGCTCTAACAAGGGAAAGAAAGAAGAGCTCAGCCAACTCATAGGAACATGTAAAAATCGACTCAGGGCACTGAAAGCTATGACCTGGAATGGGCATGGAGCCTCTATTGCCGTGCTTACAATTATGTACACAGCCTATGTGCACCCAGCTGTTTCTCCCCACTGTTAAAATCAGAATTAAGGAACTGAAAGCTAGGCTTGCAATTAAGATAGCTGGAGACCCCCACTACAAAGATAGTGCCAAGAAAAAAATAGTTCTTTGTTACCTACAGGAGGAAACGGAAACAAAAAAAATGGCATCACTGGTCAGTCTGCTACGTAAAAAAGTGGTTGGGCACCATTCCTTTCCCCCGTCCCATCCTAAATCCTTATCCTGACTCCTTCCAAGTGCTAGATAGTCATAATGGTTTGGCGCTTTACCCCTGATAATTCCCCTTTCCCTGCTACCTCTTAGAACTTCACCTGCTTGAACAAGCCCGCGAGCTCCTGCCTGTAGAGAGGTTACCTTCCTGGGAGGATGACCCGTGCAGGATTATTAACAACGAAATGGCAACGTTAAAGTCCAACATGATACCACAGGAAATGAGGCACAAATATCTTGAGGAAATTTATCAAGAAGCCGGAAATGAATTAGATCAAATCTACACTGATGGGTCATCTAATTCTGTCAATGGCAGGGCTGGTGCAGCATACACAGTAATTGGGAATAATGTCTTTCAAAACGGAAATGAAGAAAAGGCTTCTTGAGAACTATGCCTCTTCAACACAATAACTGCCATTGTTAAGGCATTAAGATTCCTTGCAAGAAACACTAACGGTGCAGTGATCTGCGCTGATTCAAAAGCAGCACCACAAAGCCTTAGTAAGATTCAGGTAGAAATCCTTGCAATAGATGCTGAAATCAAAAGAGCTGTGAAGATACTAACCAATCAGGGAAGAGTCAAATTCCTGTGGATACCCTCCCATGTTAGACTCTGTTTAAATGAACGAGCAGATGTGCTGGCTGCTGAAGGAGACCATATTGAATAGTTCATAACCAAGACAGCTACAAATTGAGTAGGTGGTGAGAGTGACGGACACCGCCTTAATCACTACCTGAGAAAATGTGAACACTAAGAGTCATTAGAAATATGTGTAGAATAATAAGGACCACATTGCTTGAGTTAGGAAAACACTATTTGTCAAATATGCTAACTGTTCTTAAAAGATTCCCCTATTTTGCACCCCACAAGATAACGTAAATTTTAGGGGTTGACATATATATTAATAACCTTGTTCGGTAAGCTGTTCACTTGAGACAGTTAAGCAAGTCTCAGCTGTGTCTGGGTACAAGTGACAGGATG